GTGGAAGATAGATGTAAGGTAGGGGAGGGACAGAGTTAGAGATTATGCAAAAATTCAGAACCTCGAGGCCCTGAACCAAGGCATTAGCAGCCATAGGAGAGGGGATGTGTGGATGCAGGAAACACTGTGGAGCTATAATCTCTGGACCTTCTTCCTCAGCACCCCGTCCCAATTATAACTTGCCAATTCCTTGTGTGGTTTTTGCCCAGCGTCTACCTCCCCAGCTGACTGAATGCTGTGAGAACAAATGCTATGACTCCCTTGTTCCCTGCCACAGCCCCAGCACTCAGAACAATGCCTGGCAGAGAGCAGATGCCCAAAGCATATTTGTAGTGTGAGTGAATGAATGAACGAAGAATTCCCTGACTGTGGAGTTTTCCACTGAGGCAATTGGAAGAAGGAATGCTGGAGGAAAAGGTGGCTGGCGGGGAGGGGAGACAAGGATGAGGTTGATCTTTGGATAGAATGAATTTAAGAATATCCAGCAAAGAGTTAAATGTGCAGGTTTGGGGAGAGGGAGAGGGAGAGGTCTGTGACTGAAGAAGTGCATAAACCAATAAGGGTAGGTGAGATTTCCCAGGTAGACAGTGGGAGAGGGAGGGGCAGTGGGAGGGGGAATCAGCAAAAAAGAAGACCATTGGAGAAGTAAGATGATGACCACAAGAGTGCTGTGTCATATGGCATTCAGGAAATTCAAGAAGAAGGCTGAAAAAAGGCAGGGTGGGTGAGAGGGAGGTAAGGGGTCTTCATCGGCATCTGATACTACAGAGGGATGGAGAAGGAGAAGGAGGGCTGTGAAAACATTCCTGGGTCTAGTGATTAGGAGGACTCTGGCAACTCTGAGTAAGGCAGCTTCAGCAGCAGTGCAGGGGCTGCAACTCTCCGATCTCACAGAGCCAGAGGGTTTGACTGGGAGGTGAGGAAGTGATGACACCAAGTGGAAACTACTGGATCATGAAGCTAGAGGGCAGAGATTAAGAGAAAGATAGGGTTGGGAGCAGGAGCTGGAGAAGGAAGGGGATAAAAGAGGCGTATGGAGAAGAGATTGAAGGTGTGAGGAAGAGGGAGTAAAAACTGGATCAAGGAGAAGGTGTAAAGAGGGAAAATCTGGAGCTCAGGCAGATGGATTGGCTTCAGGGGGAAGGAGGGAGACTTCTTCCTTGGGAGTTAGGAGGGGAGTTAATTGTTTTGGTAATAACAGGAACCGTTTACTGAGCCCACATCATATGCAAAATACATTTCATAGATTAATTCTAAGCCTTCAAAATGGTATTATAATCCTCGCTCTATAAAGAAGAATGAGACTCAGAGAGGTTAAGTCAATTACTCACTATCACACAGCTAAAAAGCAGCAGATTCAGGATCTGAGTCAGATGTGCCTGACACCAGAGCTCACAAGCCTTCCGCTGCACCACACTACATAAAGTGACACGGAAATCACCTGCTGAGAGGGATGGGGTAGGAGTAGGTTGGGCCTTAAGAAATTGGTTAGTGGAATCTCTCAACAGGATGAAGAAATTGCTTAACAGCTAAAAGGGCCGTGCTGAGAGTCAGCAGCAGGACCTTGAGGTGGACCCAAGAAGTTTGGCTAAGTAATCCCAGGAGGCTGGGAGTAAGAGGCACCTGGAGTGACAGGATGTAAACATGGAGAAGACTCATCCCTTGAGTAGATTACTTTGCATGCGGGGGCTTGGGGTTGGTAATCAAAGTTTTCTCAATGAATACAGGAAGCAGAGGAGTCTGGAGAAGGAGGTGGTTTGGTGACAGAGAGGTGGCATGTTGAGGTGTTTTTTTTTTTTTAACATCTTTATTGGAGTATAACTGCTTTACAATGGGGTGTAGTTTCTGCTTTATAACAAAGTGAATCAGTTATACATATACATATGTTCCCATATCTCTTCCCTCTTGTGCCTCCCTCCCTCCCACCCTCCCTATCCCACCCCTCTAGGTGGTCACAAAGCACCGAGCTGATCTCCCTATGTTATGCGGCTGCTTCCCACTAGCAATCTATTTTATTGCAGCTCTATTTACAATAGCCAGGAGATGGAAGCAACCTAAGTGTCCATCATTGGATGAATGGATAAAGAAGATGTGGCACATATATACAATGGAATATTACTCAGCCATAAAGAGAAACGAAGTTGAGTTATTTGTAGTGAGGTGGATGGACCTAGAGTCTGTCATACAGAGTGAAGTCAGTCAGAAAGGGAAAAACAGATACCGTGTGCTAACACATATATATGGAATCTAAGGGAAAAAAAAGGTCATGAAGAGCCTAGGGGTAAGATGGAAATAAAGACACATACCTACTAGAGAATGGAGTTGAGGATATGGGGAGGGGGAAGGGTAAGCTGTGACAAAGTGAGAGAGTGGCATGGACGTATATACACTACCAAACGTAAAATAGATTTCTAGTGGCATGTTGAGTTTGAGTGGTGCTGTGGGACATCCAGGGGAAGGCAGGCAAGAGGGAGTCAAGTGTATTTCTTGACTTATTTATTGCCTGTTTCACACACACACACTCACAGTACACACACTCCCAGAATGTAATCTGCACGAGCACAGGCCTTTGTCTGTCATGTTCACTGTTATATCCCCACTGTCACTGCCTGACATGATAGGTGCTCAACTAATACTTACTGGATGAATGAATATAGGGGTCTGGTGCTCAGATAAGACATCTAGCTGTCATCAGTGTTAGCGGTCATAAAGCCCCTGGAAAGGGTGAGTTCTCCCAGGGAAATATTAGAGATGAAAAGGAGATAAGGACTGAGGTCAGAGTCCTGGAGAACACACTTCTGAAGAGGCAAGAGGAAGAAAAGCAGCAGCAAAGGAAGGGAGGGGAGAAGGAGCAGTAGGAGAGGAGGGAGAGGAAAGAACTGAGTCACAGAAGCAAGAAAGGAGAGAGGTTGGAGGATACAGTGGGGTGGCTAGCAGTTCAAATGCTGCAGAACTGCTTCAGAAGAAGAGCTGGGAAAAGGGCCCAGAAGATCATCTGGTTCAGGAGAGACGCTTGCCAGAGCAGCAAGTTAGGTGCCCTGTGGACCAATTTGAAACATCTCAAATTAGAGTCCTGCGTCCTCCACAACCACCTGGCAATTCCTTGAGCTAAATGTAAACACAGAGGAGGAACCCAAGAGTTCCTGAAATCATTTGGTTATTATTCTTTTCCTGTTCTTAGAAATGCTCTCTCTTTACAATGTTTTTAGTCAAATGAAAATATCTTGATTGACTGAGCTGAGCCACCTTCAAACTCAGAATTCTAGATCAGGGTGGGTCCTTCTGCATTTCTTGGAAATCCTGTTCCTTTCTGGCATGTCCTCATAAACATGCAATCAGCAATAGCTGACATTAACTAGCACCTGCTACACACCAGGCACCTGACCAGTATCTTCTCTTCCCCTTCATACATCAGCATAGGGTAGACTTAATACTCCCTCATTTTGCAGGGAGCAAACTGAAGCTTTCCCAGGGAGCCACAGACAGTGAGGGTTGGGGCCAAGATTTCAAACCAGGTGTGTCTGATACCAAAGTCCCTGTGGATGGTTTTCTACTCCATCATGACTTTCCTCAAAACAACCTATCAGGTGATCTGATCACGTGGAAGTCCTCAAACTCTCAGGCCCCATGGTATGCAAAGATCTCAGTCTGCCAATATGTTTTCTCATTTTGAAAGAAACGAGGAAAATCCATCATCAATAAACAGCCAGTGACCTTGAACTCAACTTGGTTGCAATATCCAGCCTGACTCCTCTGCCACCATTTCCCAGGACCCCTTTATCCTCCTAGCAAATCAAAAAGACCCCAAGTCTATGTAGAATGAAAGTCCTGGGGGAGTAGGCCTGGCCCAATTTGACCATCAAGGTACATGACACTTTGGCTGTTAGATCCCCATCCCCATGGATATCCCCCTCCATGCTTGAAAAAGGATTTGCAGTAGTTTTGCCTATGAAAGCACCAGTGAAACTGAATGGTTAAAATAAAAAGGAAGTCTCTAAGAGTTAGAGCGTCTGGGTTCAAATTCTCAGGGATGCTGGAAGAACGGAGTAAGAAGGAGGCCAAGTATAGAGGGAGGCTCCAGGCCCACTACCCTTCCCCTCCCACTATGGTTGGAACAGTTCCATTTTTATGTATTTTTCATATTGAGATTCCCATTAAGATTTTATTTGGAGAAAATCTTCTGAGGCAAAAAAATAATAATAAAAACTGAAAGTCGGTGATTTAGGGAGAGGGAAATGAGGACAAACATAAGCTGAGTGGTTATGAGGCCCAGTGCTTGGTAATTTAAAGGCCCTTAGCCCCAAGAAGATTATTGTGTCTCCAATCCCCTCTGTGTAATTCAAAATAAAAATCAATATTAAGCTATAAAACTTACATGTTTTATGCAATGAAAATAACTTATTTCTCCATTTGTCTAATTTCAGAAGTCTGGATATGTTCATGTGAGCTGGCTGTTCTCAATTTTTCACCTACCTCTTATTTGCTGGGGCCCCGAGCGCAAGCTCACTCCTTCTAGGGCTTGATGCAGTGGTCCAGGCTGGAATTCTCTCCGGTCTCCACAGTATCCCTGAGAAAGGAGGCACGGCCATCTCTATCTTATAGAGGAGGAAACGGGGGCTCAAGGAGATTGGATAACTTGCGTGGAATTCCCATGGCAAATAAGGAGTTAGGGTGGCATTAGAACCCAGCTCTGCCTCTGTCCAAATTCTGGGCTTTTTCCAACATGCCTGGCTTTGATCAAATTAAAGCAACATGGTCAAGATGAAAATTTTAAAATAGGGATCAGAAGCCATTTGGCAGCACATATGTGCCTGGCACATAGCAAGTGCTCAGGAAACAGCCCTTTTCCATCCCTTTCCATGCGATACCAGGCACTGGGTCTTGGCCTCTGGCTGATGGTACCTGATGCCTGAACCAGGGTGACCGGTCGTTTGTCCAACTCCACTGCCCTGCCTGTGCAGAAGCTTCTCCCATCTAACCCCCAACCCTTCTTTTGACAGGTTGCCACATCTCCCCAAGCCAGGCCTGCCTGAAGTGCTGCATGCAATTTGGCTGCTGGCTAGGGCACATTAAACAGAGTTGTAGGCATGGACTTCGTCATGAAGCAGGCCCTTGGAGGTGAGGCCCTAGCCCTGCACCCCATGCCCGCTACCCAATCCAGACCCAGGTGGGAGGGGCCTCAGCACACCAGGCCCCCCCCATCCCCAGGCTTGCCTCTATGACCCTGTCCTCTCCCTCCCCAACCCATCCCCCACAGGGGCCACCAAGGACATGGGGAAGATGCTGGGCGGAGAGGAGGAGAAGGACCCTGATGCACAGAAGAAGGAGGAGGAGCGGCAGGAGGCACTTCGGCAGCAAGAAGAGGAGCGCAAGGCCAAGCACGCACGCATGGAGGCCGAGCGTGAGAAGGTCCGGCAGCAGATACGAGACAAGGTCAGCACCACCCTCTTGCCCATCCTGGAATGTAAGGGGTTAAAAGGGTCTCCCAAAACCTCGGGCTCCCTTGAATCCCAGCTCTCACCTTAGACCTAGTTCTCTCTGAGTCTCACTCTTTTCATCAGAAAAATGCGTGTCAAGGAACACCTCCCTCAAGGACCGTTCTGGGGATTAAAAAAGGTAGTGGATATAGTAAGTGCTCCCTAACGTTTGCTGCTACAGGTCCACAACCTTGTACCCCAAATCCTGGAGACCAAACAAGTTTGGAGCCCAGAATTTGGGGATTTTGGGAAAGTACTATAGCGCCCTGAGCACTGTTATGTGTCACTCCCAGTGAGTTTGCAGCTGCCACCCTATGCCAAACAGCTCAACACTTGTCTGCTCATACTGCGATAAATCAAGGGTATGAGTAGGCTTCCATCAATTCCAGTCAAGTTTTGTCACCAAAATTGGGCCCAAAGCCTGTGGGAGAACATTCAGTTTTCAGATCTTGGAGGATTTCAAAAGAGCAAAGAAATTATGTGGGCAGGTATTAATTTTAAAGGAAACCCCAGGCACCATCTCTCTTTTATTAAATACCAACTGAAGGCAAGCACAATCCCACAAGGAATGTGCCCTTATCCCCATTTTATAGATGAGAGGACCCATGGGCTCACAGGGAGTTCCCATGAGCTGCCTCAGCCACATGTGCATGACCTTGAGATCCAGCTCTCTCCTTGCCCTGTTCATGCTCCTCTCCACCCTTCCCCTCCCCAGTATGGGCTGAAGAAGAAGGAGGAGAAGGAGGCTGAGGAGAAGGCAGCCCTGGAGCAGCCCTGCGAAGGGAGCCTGACCCGGCCCAAGAAGGCCATCCCGGCAGGCTGCGGGGACGAGGAGGAGGAGGAGGAGGAGAGCATCCTGGACACGGTGCTCAAATACCTGCCCGGGCCACTGCAGGACATGTTCAAGAAGTAACCGGCCCTCCCACCACATCCCCACTCCACTTGTTACTTTTTTTTTTTTTTTTTTTTTTGGTTCTTTCTTTTCTTTTTATTCATTTAAGTCTCAGTTCTGAAGGGGAAAACCTCAGTTGGCCTCTGTCCCCCTTCCCTGGCCAGGGGCTCCTCCCCCTCAGCACTCTTCACACTCCTTTCATCCCAGGGTATCCAGCCTCCACCTCACTCCCAAGTTGCTTGAAAAGAAGAAGACAGCTTTTCTCCAGCAGGGGGTATTGAACCCAGTACAGGAAGCACTGGGGGGCCCCCTCCAGAAGCCTAAGGTCTGTGCTGGTGTGGTAATCCCCATACATTCCTTCATGCACCCCACTGCCAGGAGGACCACTGTCCCCAGCCAGCCAAAGTAATGACACATTCCAGCCCTGCCCAGCATGCTGACCTTTGGCCTCTAAACCCCAGTGGGCCTCCAGGTCAGGGCAGGGGCATTGAGTGGCCTGGCTCTGAGGAAGGGAGTCAGGGTAAGTCTGTGCTGTTAGGGCCTAGCCTGAGGCTGGCCTGTTCTGTTCTGTCCAGGCCTGGGTCTGGGCAGGAGGCTGGGGCTCTCCTTCTTTCCTCCCTCTGATGCCACCTAGTCTAGGAGCATTCCTCTCCCAACCCCCACCTGAAGAGGCCTAGCCCCTGCCAAGCCAGTCCCTCCAAATGGATCCTCTGTGGACTTTAACTCATCTGTGGAGGGGCCCCAGGGTAAGGCAGCCCCTTGTTTCTTCCCCCCACTCCACTTAGGTCCTGGAGCCCCACTGCCAGGCTGGGCCCAGCTTGCCCAGCCAAGGGGCTGCCCAGGCCCCCCAGAAAATACTTGGAGCCATTGGGCAGCGATGGCCCATGCCATGGGACTCCCCCATTGGTGCAGCCAAGCTGCCCCCATTCTTATCCACCCCTCTTCCTCACCTCATCCTGTTCATGTGCTTCCAGGGCCCCACGGTCCACAGGAGGACCCTTCCTGGCCAAAGCCCCAAACTTTTTGGGAAAAGCCAGTTCCCAGTTGACAGAAGGCAACTTTCATCTTATTGGCCAAGAACAAACTCTTATTGTTCTTTCATCTTATTGGCCAAGAACAAACTCTCCTCTGGGATGTGTGAGACTGGCATTTGTTCCCCCCATCCCGAATTGTCAAGGCCTCCTTCTCAGTAAGCTGTGTGAGAACTGGGAAGCCATGGAGCAAATGAGAGAGGAAAGTGTTTGACCAGGCATGCGTGAATGTACATGGCAGAGACTGCATCAGCAATTGTATGCCCAGAGATTATACATATAAGCCTATGATTAGAGTGTCTTGAGATTGTGTGTGTGTGTGTTAGTCAACATCCCTGTGTGATGTATGTTAGGCAGCCTTGTGTATGTATGCTTGTTTGAGGTGGTATGTGTGAGTTGAGATTGTGTCATATGTGTGTACTAACCATCTCATATGTGTGTTTGAGCTTGCATGTGTTAGCTAGTATCTGCATTTGTTTTCAAAAATAGCATGTATGTCAGGAGTGATGAGAATGTGTTAGATGTTGTAGAAGTATGTGTTTGAGAGAGTTGTCAGATATACTGAGACTGTTGTGTGCATGTGTTTGGCTCTGAAAAGGCAGTTGTGTGCAGGACGTGTGCCTGGGGAGAAGGAACATAGGTAAGATGACCCCTCTTGGCCCCCAAACCACTAGTCACAGATGGCCACATCCAAGAGGAGACCTTGTCCTTGGCCTAGAGTCCTCCTGCCCTTGGGGGGTTCCTGCCTGAAGTCCTCAGAAGTCCACTGGGACAGACCCAGGCAGTGCCCCAAGAAGCCATGCTGGGCCCCCACCAGGGCCTACCCCAAAAGCAGGGGATAGGGAGGGGGCGACTTGCCTGTCCCGAAGCCCCTGCCCCATTGGCCCCAGTTTGCATTCTGCAGGTTTTCCATTTTAGTGAATTTATGCTTTTATTTCAGAGAGAGACATGGGTCTTCTCTGTCTGTTTCCAATAGTTAAAGCCATATCAGTTAGACTGCAATACTTTAAAGATGAGACAAAACAATCCATATGTTTAGGGAACTAGAAAAGTCCCCTGGTCTGTCCCTTCTCTGGGGAGCAGGGCCTCAGCAGCTCCAGCTCCCTGGACTTGCCCTTCTCCCCCGCCCACACCCCCTCCCCTGTGCCCCTGTGCCCCATCCCCCCAGGGGGCCTGTGTCTGTGTCTGTACCTGTTTCTGTGATGGGGAGCCAACTTGCACCCCTGTTGTCTGCTTGTCTGTTTGTATCTGTTATCCCGGGCAGGATGGTCATTCTCAGGAGCCCTGGGGTCCTGGGGCAGAAACAGGCAGAGCCCAGTCCTGGGCCCCAGGCCTCCCCAGACCCTGTGTGTAGGTCCTACCTGGACACAGGGGTGAATCCCAAGTGTTCAGAAAGCTCTCCCTCTTGACAGGGGCCTGCAGACCTCAAAGGTGGTACCAGGGCACAGAGAGTGCCAGATGGACAGTGAAGACCGAGGCCCAGGGAGCTTCAGATGAGCAGGCCCGAGGAACCCCAGATCCCCAAGCGGCATCCCTCACAGTCTTCACAGCCCCTCTGCACCCCCAGAGCAGGCTCAGGGCTTTTCCCATATGAGAGTGCCTTCCAGGCTGGCTGGCTTAGTCTGGTGCACATCCTGGACTCCTTTAGACTCCTCCAGCCTGCTTCTGAGCAGGACGACTGGAGGTTTTCCTGGAGGCAGGGACAGGGGGAGAATTTCTGCCTGGGGCATACCACCATAACTCTTGGGTCCAGGGGAACATGATGACCATCATTCCTGACACAGACCTTACTGTGGAGAGAGGCTAATATGTGGCCCAGAGAGGATGTCATGTGCAAACACACTTGTGGGAGCACAAAATATTTGTGAGGTGTTCAAGCAGGGAAGGGATGGTCACATGAAGTACCTGGGGTGGGAGGTGTATAAGGTGGGAGGGGGAAGAATGTGTCACACACAAATGGGGCAGTGTGCATGTGACACACTTAGGAGATGGGGCAGGGAGGGAGTGGCCCCAGAATTCAGCATGCGCACACACAACATACAAGGGAGACGTCCCCCAGCTAGGAGAACAGGAAGAAGCAATCATTGCATGTGGGTGAAGACAGAACAAAATGCCCGCTTGCCAGGGACGGCCACTGCTGTGCTGTGTGCCTGGGAGCGGACCAGCAGAGAGAAGGGAAGTGCTTCTCTGGATCTCCTGTGCTGGGCACTGGCAATGTCCAGAATTTCCACACAGGTACATCCTCTGCTCCAGGTCCAGAAAGTGTCCTTAACTACAAAGGTGTCTCCTCCAAAGGCAAGCAGGAGGTCCAGAGACCCTCCCAGCTGTGAGAGAGGGAGAGAGCCAGAGAGAGAGAAAGGGAAATAGAAACAGAAGTTCTTCAGCCCAGGTCCCTCTCAGGTGGGACAGCTGGTGGACAAAGCAACCTCCCCGAAGGCTCAGAGCTAGAGTAAAATGGGGTGAGCCACCAGCCCCGGGAGCCCCTGGTACCCAGCCAGCAGGGTTGCCCACCACCACCACTGAACTGCTCCATCCTTCTAGGTTCCTCAAACCCTTGACTGCACAGGGGGCTGGGGGTCAGACTGGCTCAGATGACGGGACATCTCTCAGGCCTGAGGACATGACTCCCCCCACATGTCCCCTGCTCTCCTCCCCACTCCTGTGCCCCACCCTCTTCACTGGAAAGAGAATGAGAGGTGCAACTGCTGGCCCTCGGGTGGGGATGGGGGTCCTACTGAGACCCAGGTGAGGACGACCATCCTGCCTGCGTGGGGGAATCCATTTCCCACTGTGCCGTGTCCTTGTTGCTCTGCTTCCTTTAAATGTGTCAGTGCCTGGGGGGAGGGGAGGGGCAACCCCCATGCCCCCCTGAACCTGACCAAAAGCCATGGCTGTTGCTCCCCCTTTGTACGACGCAGATGCTAAGATGTACCAAACCAACCATGACAACAAGCAAAAGACCTTGTACAGCAGCTCTCGGTCTGTCTGTCCTCTTCTGTCCGCCGGCACTGCCAGAGCTCCATGGGATGCCAGCTGAGAGGAGGGGGGCCAACCCACAGAGCTCAAGAGGTCCCAGAAAACCTTCAGTTTTACCCTTGCTTCTGGCCAGGACACTCTGGCAATGACCCCAGAAACCAGCCAAGGCTAGAGTTAGGACTGGCCCCAGAGATTCAGGGCCACTCACGTCCTGCCCTTCAAAACCAACTGACAATCCCAGGAACTGGTAGTCCAGCTAACACCCCACACCCTGTCTCTGGCCACCCTTCCCCCCAAGCCCCGTGAGTGTGGCATCCTGACACAGAGTCAAGTCACACGGGTAGGCAAAGGTCCGTCATTGGTTGTCCCTCCAACATTGATGGAGTTCCTACCTCTGCTAGTCTGTGTGCAGGAGGCTGGGGACACAGAGAGAGGATGCATTGCTCCTGGACACAGACACATCCCAGACCTTGTTGAGGAGTCAAGAACAGACCACACTCGGCTGCCCCCCACCATCACCATGCCTTAAGCTAGGCCTCTTCTCTCTGCTTGCATAGGCACCTCTCATTCCCCACACACTGCTCTCCTAGCCTGTATCTCTTCCCTTCCACCCATCCTCTCCCCACCACCCCATCCCACCGAAAAGACTTATCTAAAATTCAGACGTAACCATGTCCCTTCCCTGCCCAACACCCTTCAATGGCTTATAGGACAACGTCAAAATTGTCAAAATGGGCCTGTGTGATATGACCCCAGCTGGCTAGTTCCAAGCCCACCTAACCTGCTCCAAGCTCCCCCAGTCCCCACACATACCATGCTGTTTTGTGTTTGCCTATTCTGTCCTCTCTGCCTGAAGTGAAAGGTACCCTTCCCCTTTCTGGTGTATTCCCAACTTCTCAAGATCCAGCTCCAATGTCACCTGCTGTGTGAAGCCCACCCTGACATAGCCCTGTCCCCCCGTCCACAGCAGAGTTTGTTGCTGTGTTCGCACAACACAGAGCATTGTGGCTGAATGCTCAGACAGTGCTGGGTTTGCTGGTGGGTTCTGTCACCTAGAAGAGTGATCTTGAAGAAGCCACTTAACCCCTGTGAGTGTTTTCTTGTAAGTGAGATGGGATAAGAATTGCTCTGACCTCCACTGTGGTTGTGAGGCATGAATGGGGTGCTGCCCGCATCCTCTTAGCACCATGTGCCAAGCATTCAATGGATGGAGGCACTGTGCAAATGATGCTCTAACTGGGGTCCCTGCACATCTCTCTCACCAACTTGAGAACTCTATAAGGGCAGAGCTGGCTGGCACCCCAATGCCTCCCAGCATCTACCACCCCAATGCCTCCCAGCATCTACCACAGAATCTAGCCTACATTGGGTGCTCAGGAACCCCAGTGCTGACTCAGCCACATGATCAAGCCCCATCTCCTTTACTTGGTGGCCACAGCCACTTTTCCCTTAGCTCTCTGCACTTACTGGATAGTGCAAGAGAGGAAAACCGGACCCCTCCCTCTTCTATGCGCGGACATCACCTTTCCTGCCTGTTCTACCAGATCTTCCCAGGAGCCTGGGCTGGTCCACTATGGGTAGCACGTCCCCTGGACTCTTGGAGTGTGCAATGGGAGGCTGTATTAGTTATCTACTGCTGCATAACAAATGA